GAAGTTGGCATTTTACCACGACACATGCGCGGTCCAGGGTCTTGGCAGGCCTACGTGGACGCTTGTGAGTGCGACGGCGAGTCGGGCCCGCTTAGGGACTCGCAACTCTGCCGCCCCTTTGGGCTGTCCCCGACGGCACTGAGGAGTGGGCCGCGGAGGTTGTCCCTCTCCTGCCTGGTGACGCTGCCGCGTCCCAGGCCCCGGGAGCGGCGCACTGCAGAGCTCCTAGCGGGTACTCCACTCTTTGGCGTGCAGGCGAGACACAGTGGCGATGTTGTCACTGCTTGGGCATACGGCCCCCAAACGACCAGGGCTTTTTCAGCGCGAGCATGAAGATCCCCAATCCCGATGACTCGCTGCGGGAGGTCTTGCAGCCGCATGAGGAGGCCTTGGGCTGGGCCAGAGGGGCCCACGAACAGTGCGCTAATTCCACCCTTTTTGCCTTGAGCTCCAACCTCTGCCGAGTGTGCAGCCTGCCGGGGCCCTACCTCTTCATGGCCAAAACGCTTCCCCCGGACAGCAGCTGCGTGGGTCCAGCGTTTGTCCACGAAACACATCGCGGAGCGATAAATCTTTATTGCCTTGTGTGAAAAGGATGCGCTGGGTGCATCCGCCAATCAAATCAAACCGGTGGTAAATTTGTTTTGTGCAAATTGGATGTTTTAAACAAACATGCGTTTGTTCTTTCGCCCTCAAGCTTTTGCCATTATTTTGCATGACATCAATCACTTGGGGTGTTGATCATGAATGCAAACCGGGCAGCTTTGTGCTCAAGTGCCCTGCTGGGGGCGAAAATTTTGTCAGGGGCTCTCTAGAGGCCTGTCATTTTGTCTAACAGGTCTGAGACCCCTGTACCTTGGTGTTGCTCTTAGAGCACCGTGCAAGACTGCCCTTGAAGGGCAGTCGGATGGAAGAGGCCGCTCCGTCAGGCCTCGCTGTGTCCGAGGCGTCTGAGCATCCTAGCAGCCTCTCCAGTTTTGAGGCCTTGTCCAGCCATCTTCATTGCCTGCAGATTTCACACGACCTTCTTGAGTCTCGTGTTCGTGTGGTCGAGGATCGCTTGGATTGGTTGGATAGGCAGGCAGCAAGCTCAGCCGCTCGCATCTCCTGGCTTGAAACTTTCGTTGCCCACTTGCGGCATTTGTTTCGCCGCTTCATTTGAGATGAGCTCTTCCCTGACTGTCGGGAGTCCCTTGACCCGGAAAGCCCTCTGGATGCACACTGCCAGTCAGCCGGACCGTCGCTTCGCTCGTACTCAGGCGCTGACCTTCGCTCACGCGCGTGATCGATTCGCAATTGACATGCAGAGCGTACAAGAACCTGAAGCGGAGCTGCAGATTCGCACGGCCTGGGATTCCTGCTCCGAGGACTCCCTCGGGTTTAGCCAGAGTGGTGATGTTTGCTCTCCTCGCGATGTTGAAGATGTCTATGCTTCCTTGACGGACATGCAGAAGGAGCATCTTTGTGGTGACTTGCACTCACAAACTGGTGCCACGGTTCCTGTGTGCGCCCCGCAGTTCGCGCACCCTTTGGAATCGAGCCTCGATTCCTTTCGTGAACAGTTTGCGGCCATTGCCGGTCGCCTCGATGACTTGGAGGGCTTTACTGGCTCTATCATCGACAGCGAGCACCGAGTCTCCTTGGTCAGGAGGCTTCAGCGGATCGAAAGCATGCTTGGAGTTGACCGCTTCGGGCAACCGGCCTAGCCTTTGCCACTTCTTGCAAGCAAGGCGGGTTATCAGGTTACGCTGCGAGCTCTTGCTAGTCACTTGGATCATGCTGAGTCTTTTCCTGGTGCTCTTTCGCTGCAAATTTCGGGGGCTTTGATGACAGGAGCTGTCTTTTCCTGTGCCCATGGGGTATGGGGGTGATGTCTGCCCTAGAAAACTCCTGCCGAAACCTACATGGCTTCAGATGGGCAAAAGGAAGGATACATGCTTTGAGCGCGCTTTGGAATGCCCTAGACAGTTGTATGATGCACCGTTCTGAAAGAGCATACCTGAACAAATTCTGTTTGCGAGTTTTGCTCTGAGCTTCTTGTTGAGCTTTTGGTGGCGTGAGCTTGAACGCCATTGAGCCGATGCCTCAGTCTGGGTTTCTCTTACCTTGACGCAGGTGCCACAACTTTGTTATGTTCAGGTGAGCTTTGGAGACTCCTCAGTGAGTCGACCCTTCGAGCTGGGCTCTTAGGGTCGAGTCTCCTTCTTTGGGCGCTGGGCGACCCCCTTTTTCTTTCTCAGGTTGTGCTGGTGGAACACAGTCCATTCGAGCTTGGCTCTTAGGGCTGAGTCTCCTCTTTGGGCGCTGGGCGACCCCCCTTCTTTCCTTTCTCAGGTTGTGCTGGTGGAACACAGTCCACCTGTGAGACAGGGCTTGGCCCTTGGCTTCTGGCCGCCTCTTGTTGCTGGGCAACTGAGACTTGCCAGGTGATCCTGGCACACTGCCTGCTTTAAGCTACAGCCTCAAGTTGTGCAGCGCAGAAGAGTGTGCTGTGCAGGGAGACGCCGGGCATCTCCTTGCATAGGGAAGCTTGGGCTTTCCTTGAGGTTGGCGAGCTTCGATCCTGACTGAGGTGTGGGCCCAAGATCAAGTGAAAGTAGCCGCTCTTGGCTTCCTGATACCTAGAAAGCGTTGGCTACATTGCTGCGAGTACTGGGTGCTCACCTTATTGATCCTTGTGGATAGGTGTGCTGTTCTCTGTGGCATACAGGTCGCTTGCACGACGGTACTTCCCTTCCATCGGGCAAGGGGAGAACCCTTGTGGATCTTCTTCACCTCTTTGGTCCGGACCTCATTTGGGCCGTTCGGTTTGGGGCTCAACAAAAACGGATTGTTAGGCACTTCGGCCATTTGTGGGACGACTGCGAGAGTGTGCTCTCTCGAAGGCCTGGGGCCCGACAGAGTCAAGTGCTAATATCGCGATTGCTGGGCGATTGGCGATTCTCACCTTGGGTGAGTGACAGGACCTTATCGAGTGCTTGGCACCTGATTGGGCTCTGGGCTGGACCCTTGGCCCTTTTGCTCGCCTTTGGGAGGGTAACTCTCGGCCTCCTTAGGTCAACAACACTTGAGATCTCTTCGGCCGAGCCCTTTTGCGTGCGGGTGTGACGTGATGCAACATGAGATCCGCTTGTTAGCTGCCAAACGTGATTTGGGGACTGGTGATATCCAAACTTTGAAAGAAGTACCGACTCCTTGGGATCCGGTTGGGAGCTATGTGTCCGGGTGTGGGTACACTTCTCCTCCGACATTTGCGGAACCCCGCGTGGAAGATCCAGATCCGGCACCTCCGAAGTGTTTTGCATTCCCCGCCAGACGGGCCCTGCCGATCAGCAAAGGGGGAGACAATCAGAGTCGCAAGGAGCGTGTCAAGGCACTCGCGTTGTGGCAAGCGCTCATAGTCACCTCCGTGTGTGGACTGGCAGTTGCTCTCTCGAAGGCTTCGGATGCCCAGGTTCCGATAATTTTGGATGATGTCTTCGCCCGCAAGGCTACTTCAACATTGCGTAGTCGAGCAGGCAGCCTCCTTCAGTATGCCCGTTGGCAGCGAGCAACTTTTGGTGAGAACCAACTTTTCCCTGCCAGTGAAGATCGCTTGTACCAGTATACATGCTACTTGCGAGCCGAGGGAGCTCCTGCTTCCAGGGGCGAACGCTTCATACAGAGCATCCGCTTTGCGCATAGCCTGCTGCAGTGTGCTGGTGATCTGTCCATGCTGTCACCCAGGGTCATTGGATCTACGATCGCCGGGGTAGAGAAAAGACCCATCGTCAAGAAATGGCCCTTGAAAATCCATCAATTGAGAAAGTTGGAGCATCTTGCATGTGGCGAACCAAGTGCGCTTTCCATCTTTGCTGGATTCTTGTGTGTGCTTGTGCACGGCAGGCTCAGGTTCAGTGATGGGCAAATGTGCTTTGAAGAACCTGAGCTTGAAAAGGGTGAGGCTCACAACATTCTTACTCTTCGCTTGTATGGATCCAAGACCAGCTCTCTTCGGCGGGCAACTCGGTTTCGGCTCATTCCTGTCTTTGCGATAAGTCCAGGAGTGCACGGGTCTGAGTGTTGGGCCACCTGCTACTTGGAAAATCGTGCTGCACTCGGTTTGAGTGCTTCGGAGGATGAACCGCTCATGAGGTGCCCGACTGCAGACGGGGGTTTTTCAGAACGCAAGCTCCGATCTTCTGACGCTTCGGTCTGGATGCGAGAAATCCTCTCGGATGTGTGTACCTTTGAGGAACTGGCTAACATCGCAACACACAGCTGCAAAGCTACGTGCCTAGCTTGGCTCACCAAAGGGGCGGCGACGAATGCCATGTGCAGAAGAGCAGGATATCATGTCGGCGTTGAGGGCAAATCAGAGTTGGAATACGCCCATGATGCAGCCGCCCCGCTTATCTCTAGGTTGGCCAATACTCTTGAGATGATCAACGAAGGGTGCTTCTCGCCTGACGAGCCGCGCCTCCAGAGGTGGCATGGTGCTGAGGATTATGATTCAGCTCTGGCACTCTTACGCAATGAGGGCGAGTCTAAGAGAATACGGGCTGAAAAAGTGAGCCGCCTCCTAGCAGATTCGTCCTCCGACTCTGAGTCCAGCGAGGAGCCGGATGACGACTCCGATAGTGCGGAGTCGGAGCTTGATGGGCAAATGGCCGAGATACACGCTCATAGCGAAACTCTCGATAGCTCCAGCCAGGATGGTTATGTATACTACTTGCATGAAGCACGTAAGACCGTGCACCGAGCCCGGCAAGTTAATGATGACGATGCTACTGTGTTTCTGTGTGGGCGGTTGGCCACCGCGGCGCACACTGAGCTAGGAGCCCGACCCAACGTCATCCTTAACCCGTGCTTGTCTTGCTTCAAATGAGGCGACATTTGTACCAGCTGAAACAGGAGCTTTAGCTGTGCCTGCTGACGGGACCTAGCACTGGTCCCAGAGCTCGTGAGCGACGTCGTGTGAGTTAAGGCTCGAAATTTGCAAGGCCAACATAGCGAAAGCCATGTCCTACGTTGACTCCAAGGCCATCTTCCGCCAAAGGTGCTTGGCGGTCGGCCTGCCCGGCGAGGTGATTGATCGGCTAGAACTCCGAGGGTGGGGAACTTTTGCGAACTTTGCTCATGCACCGACAGCCACGCCGGGCACTGCGGGGGCCGAAGCGGCTGTTCGGGTGGTTCTGGAAGCTGTGTTGGGAGATACCCACGCATCCCATGATGCCGCTCTACGACGGCTTCATTGGGAGGCTTGGACCTTGACTGCTGCAGACCTTAAACGCAAGGTCGATGGGACAGATGAGTCCGCACCCCGCAAATTGCCAGTTGCTGAGATCGGGGCACGGCTCCAAGTGCTTACTCCGAAGATCGCGCCTTTGAAGCTTGAAGGCATTCTGGAGCCCAGCCACGCGAGCATAAATCTCTTCGCAGCCATGCTGGATGAAGGGCGACTTCGCTACATCGAATGGTCGAGGCTGACCACCCGTGATCAAGAAGTGGTTGGGGCATCCGAGGACAACCTGCTGAAAGCTTGGAAGCCGGACAAGAGTGGAGTGGTGCGCGAGCACAAGGATGCTCCTCGCCTTGAGGCGAATGTGGCCACTGACCTCATGGTTCATCATGCACTCCGTCGTCGGGGAGTCTGTTATGCGATTGCCGAGCTCATGACCTTCGAAGTCCACGAGGCATTGATCAACTTCTTGTTCGACGCCTACTACAAGGATGCACCTGAGGGGTACCAGAGGGTCACGTTGACTCAGCTCTCCATGTGTGATCGAGAAATCCACCTCCGGCTCAGTGATCAATGTCGAGCGGGTTTTACTCTAGGCTCTGACGGAGGCCTTCCCTTGGACAGACATCTGCCTGTAGTTCTGAAGATGCGTTGCGTGGAGCAGCTCTTGATTCCAAGGACCCGCGGGAGTGCTGCTCCTGCCATTAAGACTGCCGCCAAGAGCAAGCCAAACCCTCGCAAGCGCAAGAACGGGGATCGGTCTGTGCCTCCTCCTCCTCAACCTGTGGGGGGGCGATCTGACATCCGGCCAAAGAAAAGGACTCCTTATATGCCCGCAGCCCTCAAGGGTGGAGTTCCCGTTGATGCCAGCGGGGCGCCGCTCTGTTGGAACTGCGATCTTGGCAAATGCGAGCATGGCGATGTGGCGCAATGCCCTAAGGGCAAGCACCTGTGCTGCCATCCGGGCTGTTTCAAAGCCCATCCTTTCATCAAACATGCTTGACTAGGTGCAGTGATGACGGCCTCCTCAGTGGCCGGCTTTGGTGTCGAAGCTGCTGTCGAGACTGCTGGTAGTTCGTTGTGCCCTACTCTTGCTTGTGACCATTTCGAGCTTCGCCTTGACTTATGTTTTCCCGGGATTACTCTGCAGCAGCATGCGGCAGAAATCTTCGCACGGCGAGTGCTGATCGCTCGCCCGCCTACACGACAAGATGTCGAGCACCTTTTTGACTTGTTGCCGCTTGAGGAAGCTTCGAGAGGCACTGATGTTCCTTCAGCTTTTGGCTGTGGATGTTGGGCTCGCGACCATCGGTTCGGGCTACGACGCAACAACCATCTTTTTCCAATCTCAGTTCAATTGCTCAATGCATTTATCCGGCAGGTCCGGCCTGGCCATCGGTGGACTTCTGTGGTCCTGTTTTGCGATGTGCAGGCCCCTCGACACAAAGACCTGCGGAACAGTTTTGATCCGAACCTCGTCGTTGCGATCAGCGACTTCTCAGGTGGCGAAATCTTTGTGATTCGCCCCGATGGACCTGCGGTTGTGCATGATGGTACTGCCGCTCTCCGAGGGATCAAGCTCGACCCTCGAGTGCAACCTTGCCTGCTCCATGCTCGCGCTGAGGAGCACCTTACGCTGCCGTGGGAAGGTCGTCGTCTCGTCTTGGTTGCCTTTTGCATAGCTTCTGTGGGCGAGTTGACAGTTGAACAAACTACGGAGCTGGAGCAGCTTGGCTTCCGAGTACACATACCTCCCGAGCCCATGCCTCTCCCTATCGCCGCTCCGGGAGGGCAACTTTGTCTTGAAATCTTCGCTTCGCCTCCGGGCATGTCCGCTGCGTTTCGCGACCTACAGCTCCGAACTTTGGCCTTGCACCATTCACCCGATCGAGCTTGTTCTGTCCCGGTCATGCGTTGGGACGTCTGCAAAGCTGAGGATGTCAACTTTTGCTTGCAGCGGTTGAAAGAGAAGGCCGTCGCATTTTTGTTCGTCATGCCGCCTTTGAGCCATGCTACTAAACCAGGGCCGCTGAGCGCTGCTCTGGAACAGTTCATCATCTTACTTCTGGCCACTCTGACTGCATACCCGACTCCTTTTTGCTTCTGCCTGCCGGCTTCGGCCCGGTGCTGGAAGGCCGTTCGGGCCCAAGTCGTTGGCCTCCCCCATCATGAAACTCCTGCTGACCTGTGCATGTTTGGGGCCGAACGCAAACGCCGTGTCATTTTCTTGCACAATGTGCCTGCTCTGTGCCGCCTCCAGCGACAATGTGACGGACAACATACCCATCTACCTTGGACTGCTCCAGGACAACCCGCGCCTGATGCCAAACGGCTACCTACAGACTGCTGTCGCATGATCGCTCAGTTGTCTGTTGAATGCGTGCCCGGCGCTCTGATGCCGCCTGCCATGAGGCCCGCATCTGTAGCCTTGCAAGGGTTTACTAAACTTAGTGCCGTCCCCCCGGTTGTCCCTGAGTTTAAGTTAGTGGTTCGAGCCTCAGTCCCCGCCGATTTCGAGCCTCCTGATCAGGTGCCTTCGGTAGGGTGTGCTTCCCTACCTGGGGTTCCTCCTGGAGCCGTCCTGCTTCGATCAGGTAAGCTGGATGCCATGACGGCACAAGGGTTACGTGGGGATTGTAGTGTGCCGGGAAATTGGAGCGTGTCGGAGGGTTTAGATGCACCGACTGAACTAAGCAGTCCCACAAAGCTTGTCGTGACCAAAGCTGCTGCATTCGGGGTTTCTTCCGACACCAAACCTCCTCCCGAGACCAAACCTGTTGCATTCGGGGTTCCTTGGACCAAAGATGAATTTCTGCAGCAAGCCCTGAAAGCCGAGCACCCGTGCAATGTCCTGTCTGGGTGCGAGTCATCAGCCTTGGAGAACATCAACTGGGTGTCCGGGACACCTGCTGTGGACGTGTGTGCGTTCAGGACTAACGCCTTGAAAGCCATTCTTCAATCGGAGGCCGAATTGCGAGCTGAAGAAGAAACTCTCCACTGCAGCCTACATCCCGAAGTTGCTCAGGTCCTTAAAGGCAAAAGGCTTTTACTCTTTCGTAAGCTTGCTGTTGCCGCGGGGGTTGATGACTCTTCTTTGTTTCAGGAGATGTGTGATGGCTTCAGGGTGCTAGGCTATGCCAGGCCCAGCGGACAGTTCCCAGTTGCCTTCAAGCATGCTTCTATGACAGAGACCGAGTTGAAAGCTGCAGCACCTTGGGTAAAAGGAATGCTTCGAGCGCCCGACTGTAGAGAATCGGATGAAGTTGCCAGGGCCCTTTGGGACGAGGCCGTCGAACAGGCTTCCGACGGCTCCGGGTGGCTGCATGGTCCACTCTCCGAAGAAGATCTTGATCAGCTGTTCCCTGATGGTTGGATACCCTCCCGAAGGTTCGGTGTGGAACAGGGAGACAAAACCCGTGCCATTGACGACCTGAGAGCGTCGATGGTTAATGCCACTTGCACATCCTCCGAAAAGATACTTCTTCAGGACATCGATGTTGTCGCTCAGACCGCAAAGTGCTTCATGGATGCTGTAATCCGGAGAAAGAGCCCGGGGAATCGACAGATTGTTGGCAGAGCGCTTGACTTGAAAGCAGCGTACAAACAGCTGGCCTCCTCGCCGCTGGATGCGTGGGCCTCCGTGCTGGCTGTGTGGGACCCTACTTGCAAGAAACATAAGTATTTCCGCTTCTCCACGCTCCCTTTTGGAGCGATCCACTCAGTCACCAGCTTCAATCGGGTTGCTCGTGCGTTGCGCCTGATCCTCTTGAGAATCGTAAAGCTCATAGTGACTAGCTTTTATGACGACTTCTGCCAATTGGAAACTGAAGCGTTAGCCGAGTCTGCCAAAACTACTGCCGAGCTTGTCTTGCGCATTTTAGGGTGGAAGGTTGCCGAGGACCCCAAAAAGTCCCTGCCATTTGCCAAGGTCTTTGCCATGCTGGGAGCCAGCTTCTCACTTGTGCGTGCCCCTTCAGGCATCCTGGAGATAGCAAACAAGGAAGGACGCCTTGAATCCTTGAGAACGCTGGTGAACTCAGTCTGCGCTGAAGGTTTCGTGCAACCTGCAGTGCTTGCAAGCTTGAAAGGACGGCTCTTGTATGCCTCGACCCATACCTTCGGGCGCGTTGCTCTGATGGCCGTCAAGTGCCTTTCGAGACACTTGAAAGGCGGCGGGGTGTTGAAGCTTAGCTCGGATGATTGTGTTCTGCTACAGCATACTATCGGGTTGCTTGAGGACATGCGACCGCGAGAAATCAAAACTGATGCGAGTGACCGGCCGGTCATAGTTTTCACGGATGGCGCCCACGAGGAGGCAGAGGGTTTTACAGCTCATGGTGGAGTCTTGATTGACCCAGTCAGGGGAGTGCACCGCTTCTTCGGAGAGCTGATCCCGAAAGCGTTCATAGATTCTTGGGGAGCTCATGGCAAGCGTCAGCTTGTGGGCCAGGCGGAAGTCTTGCCAGTTCTCGTCGCCAAGATCGTGTGGGCCGAGTTTCTTAAAGGCCGAAAGGTGCTGTGGTTTATAGACAACGATTCAGCGAAAGCAGCACTGGGCTCTGGCTCATCCCCGGTGTTGGCAACATGTGCATTGCTGTGTGTCGGTGCGCACATCGACGTGTCGCTTGAAGCGGCGCATTGGTACGCCCGAGTGCCGTCCAAAGCAAATCTTGCTGACGATGCTTCACGCCTGATCTTTGGCTCCTACGGATCCGAGTACACCCAGACCAATGTGGACTGGACTTGCTCGGCCCTTGAATCCCTTTTGCGCTCATGCACTGCGGTCACCGATGCCTCAACACTCGAGTTGTAGTGGGGAGATAAAGTGTTGAGGAGCCTGGGGCCCTTTGATGCTCACATCCCCTTGTGCGGGCACTGGGTGCCCTGATGCAAATGCTTGGCATTTGTATCCTCGCAATCGTACAACTCTTGACGAGGACGCCGTGACCGCCATTGGAGGAAAATGAAGGTGAGCGCATTGTGAAGCCGATTTTCGATATATGCATATTGGGCCTCGAATGTATATTTATTCCTGATTGGAATTTTTGATATGTTGGAACATATCTGCTGTCATAACTTCTGCTACGTGTTGTGCGAAGATTTTCGTGCTGGGCATCGTGACGAACCTTGTACCTTTGTCACTATACACCTTCGCGTACACTCTTACTTGTTTCTGTGGGTGATTTGATTGTTTCACACCTTGGCAATAAGAAACACATCGCGGAGCGATAAATCTTTATTGCCTTGTGTGAAAAGGATGCGCTGGGTGCATCCGCCAATCAAATCAAACCGGTGGTAAATTTGTTTTGTGCAAATTGGATGTTTTAAACAAACATTCGTTTGTTCTTTCGCCCTCAAGCTTTTGCCATTATTTTGCATGACATCAATCACTTGGGGTGTTGATCATGAATGCAAACCGGGCAGCTTTGTGCTCAAGTGCCCTGCTGGGGGCGAAAATTTTGTCACCCACCCACCCACCCGGGGAGATAAAGTGTTGAGGAGCCTGGGGCCCTTTGATGCTCACATCCCCTTGTGCGGGCACTGGGTGCCCTGATGCAAATGCTTGGCATTTGTATCCTCGCAATCGTACAACTCTTGACGAGGACGCCGTGACCGCCATTGGAGGAAAATGAAGGTGAGCGCATTGTGAAGCCGATTTTCGATATATGCATATTGGGCCTCGAATGTATATTTATTCCTGATTGGAATTTTTGATATGTTGGAACATATCTGCTGTCATAACTTCTGCTACGTGTTGTGCGAAGATTTTCGTGCTGGGCATCGTGACGAACCTTGTACCTTTGTCACTATACACCTTCGCGTACACTCTTACTTGTTTCTGTGGGTGATTTGATTGTTTCACACCTTGGCAATAAGGCTATGGAACTACCGGCAAAGCCCCGCTGGCACAACTGGAGAGCCTACGCTCTCTGCCTACCTTAGCGGAAGCGCTTTTGGGGGTGGTGAGGAACCCCGCCATGGTGGGCTGTATCGGGTCTTGGCCTGATGGGCGCCCCTGGCTTCAGCGTTGTGGCCCCGGAGCACTTCCAGGGACCGGGAGCGCTGCGAGTCTTCCCTTTTCGTCGCACGACGAGGCCACACTTCTCGTACCGTATGCGCACATGGGCGCGGTGGAGAATTTGGGCTCTCCTGCCGGAGGCTGAGTTGCAACGAGTTGCAGAGGCGTCCATCCCCTCCCCCGCGGGGGAGCACATGATGACCCTGCAAGTTTCCGACCAGGAGCTGGCGACCCTTTTTTACAGAGCAGTCAAGGGCTTTGACATGATGCATGCGGATGAGGACGAATGCCCAGGGAGCGGCCCCTCGACGCTCGCTGAGGTGCGCATTGAGTGCTCAGGTGCCAGCACATTTCGCGCCCCGGCTCGCAACGACGCGTGGCAGATCATGTGCTCCACGCAGTGCTACGGCCCCACGGGGTGTCTTGCGGAAACTTATTCCAAGTTGTCTGCGACGGCTTCTGCGAGGCTCAGTTCGGCGGGTCGGTATACCAGCCTTTTGCTCTCTCCCCTGCCGGTCATCCAGTTGGCGCACGCCATGTTGGACGTTAAGTTCATTGCTTCCAGCCCGGAAGCTAGAACGATTGTCACACAGCTCCAGCGGGCACGGCGTAGCTTCCACTTGCAGGACCCACATTCTGCATGTCTGGCGGCCCTGTTTCAAGTATCGGCCCAGCGCCGCCAGCCGTCCGTGGATTCTCGGCAGGCAGTTACACGGCGGGTCTCGTGGGGGTGCTTCTCCACAAACTATGGGGCAGTAGTCACTTCCCCTCCCGGGGTCCGGTTGCCGCCTCCGGGGGAGGCCCGGACGATGCTTCGCTGCCAGCGACTGTTGACATCGGTGCTGTGGGCATGCCGGACTGGCTGTTTAATGAGCTCCTGCGCCTCCCTTGCAGGCTACGCATCATCCATGCTAGCGAAGACTTCTTGTGTCCTTGGATGCTCACGGACTTTGCTCGGGCCGCCATACTGGTCGCCCCAGGTATTCGTGCGGGTGGTATGCATTGGTTAGTCAATGTGCCGGACGAGCTTTTCGGGCCTCAGTGCCACAACTACTCCCACTTGCTCCTGCGTACTGACCACACACTGCCGGCTCAGGTGGATGTCGCTGCCGTACGTGCCTTCCTTCCCATGCGCAACCTGGAAAAAGAACTGGAGTGGGCCTTCCACTCCCTCCATTTCTACCGTAGCAGGGGCCTTGTGGATGGCAAGGTTGGTAAGGTCATTGATGCACTCTTCCCGCACCGCGTCACTGTGGACACAGTCAAGCAGCTTGTCGCCATTGACTCCTTGCCCCCGCGTCTTCTGGGGGTCATCCGCACCGTCACGGCAGCCTCTTTACCACATTGTGTCGCGGAGCTTCGCACCTGGATCATTCAGGAGGCCAGGCTTCGATGCTATGAGGAGGAAAAGTCGGTCAGCCTGCCGCCTGCTCCCGTCCAGACTTCCCTGGGCGAGCTGTCGCTTGAGCGTGTTGTGGATTTTCTCCATTTCCATGTCTACAGCCAAGGCGCTGCTCTTGAGGATACTGGGCAAGAAAACAGGCGGATGTCTCATCAGGACACCACCCGACGATTCTCCCCGCTGCTGCCGGTGGTGCTTAAGGTGGAAGATTGTCTCAGCTTTGGCACATACGTGCTTGGCTTGTCGTGCCCGGATGGCTTTACGCCATCCGAGGACACTGGCTGGTTTTCGCATCGTCAAAGTGGCAATCGGCCCCCTTCCGAAGGTTGTCTTCTGCGGATGGAGTTTCGTCAAGGGAATCTCCTGGCGGTCTTCGTTGAACTGGTTGTTCCTGACAAGGTCAAGGGTAAAACCCGCGAGCAGCGCCAGGCACAACGACGCCTCAACCGCCTCAACCCCATCGCCGCCCTCCTGCTCGTCAGCCAGTGGCCCGCTTTTCTTGGGGCCCCCCCGCAACATGACCAAGTTTGCCGTTGGGACCTTGCCTTGAAAAGTTTGTCGTGTATCAAAGTCGGGGGGGCGCTGGACGTCTTTCTGCAAGTCCTGAAAATGCCTGCGGCTCGTGTCCCACTGGCCATTGGCATGCCCGTCCGGCCGTGCGCCCAACCTGCGCCGCGGCCTCGGTGCCACTTTGCCGCGGAAGGACACCTTGTGATGGCTTTCCTACAAGCCGTAGAGGCAGCCGCCCGTGCTCCTCACTTCCCAGTACCTCCTAACTTAACACCAGCCCAGTTTGTTGCACTCAGGCAGCGCATCCTCGCCCTCCACCAGGTGGCCGAGCGTTCAAATCCTCGGGACCCTTTCAGCAAAGACTGGCGTTTGCCTGCGACTTTGATCCCGCTTGAGCTGCACACCCTAGCCGCCCTGATGGGGCAAACCTTTTGTCAACAAATTGCGGAGTTGCTCGCCAGCCCTGACGGCCTTCTATGTGGGCACATCGGCCATCCTGGCTGCCCGTGCTAGCAAACGCAGCTCGCTTGGTATCTTGGGCTGTGCGGGCTCCTCTAAAACCTTTTCCCTCTGGTGTGCGCTTGTCTGCATGGATGCTGTGTTGGAGCAAACAGTGTTCTGGACAGCTCAGCAGCACTCTGCGCTCATCGCGGTCGTGCGTATTGCTTCCAATCTTTTGGCGGATGCCCCTGAATGGCTACGCCCGCTTATAGTCGTACGGAGGGTTTCAGGGGATGCTGAAATGATCGACACTTGCTTCGACCATGTGCCCTTCACCGAAGCAGCGGAGCATAAGGCAGCAGGGCTCGGGGACATAGCCACGACCCAGCCGGGGGTGAAGGGGGGGGGGCGCAGTGCGCGTCGTGCTTCCCCTTCGGTCGGCAGCGCTCACATGCTCTTACTCACACAGGGGTCGGCTGCGCTTCAGCTCCGCTATGCCTCATACAGTGAAGTGAAGAACTTCCTCAACAATGCACATGTCATTGTAATCGACGAGGGGCAACAGGAGGGGCAGCCCTCCTCGGCTGCCATTCTGGCCAATGCAGAGGGACAGCTTGTCATTCGCACCGGTGACCCCCGACAGCCCGCGGGAGGAGGTAAAGGTGAGGTGCAACTGCGCACATTGGCCCGACTCATCGCCAAGCCTGTTGGCATCCGTGGAATTGCTCAGCTTGCCCCTCATCCCGTTTCTCCGGGGCGGCTCGCCGCGGCACTGCGTGGTTTGGTACACTCTACTTCTCCGGATGGGCCGCTGCACACAGTTCAGTGGTCCAGCCTTGGGCACCGACACAACGGCCACCAGGGCGCTGAGCCACCCCCGGGTACCAGCCTCGCAGTATGCCGGGAGTTGTCGGAGTGCCTTTTTGGAGTGGAAGAGGAAGCAGCGGTTGCCCTCGATTCGGATCTTCGGGACCTCCGCGGCTGCCGGGTTACCCGACAAGGGCGTGCCTACTTCATCCCTTATTCCGGTATCACGAAGGTGGGAGACCGGGTATGCCCGCACCCCGGTCGGCTCACGCCCGCTGCTCTTGCGGTGGATTTCCTTCACCAGTCTGAGTCACACAGCGAAGCCATCCTTTGCTACCTCAACCGTCTGTCGGCAGTCGGCGCAATACTTGCGCCGGCCAATACAGTCATGCAAGCTGAAGGCCTGGCCCCTATCAATGGGGTTTGCTTGAACTTAGTCCTGGTTGCATCCACTCGATTGCTTGCCGACCTCTATCTGCTTATTACTGCCGTCCGGTATCCGCAGTCCAATGTCCTTCATGAGGCCTCCGAATCCTCTCCGTGCCCGATCACGATTGGAGAATTGGCTGCGGACACCCCCGCACGGCAACTGCAACGCATAGCGGCCGACGGCTCTCACCAGCCGGGAGTGTAC